TCATCCGGGAGGAGTGAATGCTGCAAGTCACTGACTCAATGCAATCTGCTGGGTTTCCTTAGACAGAAAAACTTTTTATCCAATTTGAATAAATAACTGAATCTGACTGCACTGTTCAGTGGTTACGATTAATTGGAATGTATGTACCTGACTTTTGTGAAGTGCCTTGAGACGACATGTGTTGTGAATTGGCACTATATAAATAAACTGAACTGAAAACTGAATTGAATTGGGATTCGTAACAATACTTGTTGTCAGACAGAAAGATAAGAGTTCTCAAGTAGATTTATTCAGTAGATTTATTCGTAATTAATCACCTGCTGAGGGAACCTGATTCACTTAAGATGACTTTACCACCACATGTGCCCCAAGCTGTATATGAAAGTACATGCCAATATTATAGTGACTCATTTTCTGTTTGGTTGTGTTATTTAAAGGTTGTTCCTAAATTTTTCGGTTTTTTATCCTGTTTTACTTCCTTGCTGTTCATATGGTTTAAATCAGTCAATTACTATTTGTGCTTATTGTAGTCTTTTCAACTGGTTTCCTTTGTAATGTGGCTGCCAGTTCAGCTCTGCATGTGATTGCATTTAATTCAAAACAAGGAAATCTAGAACCCTTTTCACTACTTTTTTTTTCTTTAACTTAAAGGGCAAACATGATTTTGATATTTAGTTATTCTCAGACTTGAAGTTTAAAATAGTTAAAATAATTTCCATGTCCAAAGTAGAGTAATAAGTAAGTAAAAAGAACCATGAAAGAAAAAAGTGAGCCCAAGGCAACTGAGAACATAGCTCAAAGTTTCCAAAGAATGGCGACATTATATTGTGAACTCTAAAGTCAGCTATCTTTAGATAACACAATGGCCAATCAAGACAAAGTTCATAGGGTGAAGATTTATGTGTTAATACGTCCTGTGACGAGAAGGAGGAAATTATTAGAAATGTCTTAGAGAAATATTGTTGAGACCAAAAAGACCTGTAACTACCCAGGGTCTTTGGCGAGCCTACTCTGCCTGTAATTCACCACAGTGATGAAAAAAGTACAATTCTGGCAGTATTAAGAAGTAGACATTGTAATTTCTTCTCTGGTTCTGAAAAGCATTATTCTGAATGGGTGCCAGAACTTCCATTTCTGCAATCAGAATATGTATATTTGCAAGCTGTGCATTTTCTGTTTAAAACCTCAAAGCAGTAAATGGAAATAGCGTTAAGTTCTACTTTTCTACACATAATTACTTGAGTTCTACTTATGAGTGTTTAACTACACAACAGCAATGTAGCACTCAAAACACTGTACTGAGGACACAGCCTGTGAAGCCACTCAAACTCTAAACGTCCATATAATGTTTTTGCACAAAGTGGACCTTAAAAGGCAGTTCATGCTGACGTACACATTCGACGGTTAGAAGGGAAGTCAAGTTACTGACATCTGTCATTCATTTGGCTCAGACACTGAGAAAAAAAATAGTTTTTGGTGCACCTAATTATAATTGAAAAAACATGTAAAGGCCAATTCTGAGAGTGGTTTATGATTTATTATGATAACAAAACTGACTTTTGACTAGAGGTGGACAGTAAGATTGCATTTAGTCAATTTAGTCTGTTTTTTATTAAACTTTTTAAAAGAAGTATACTTCTAGGAGTAGTTTTACTATACCATACTTTTTACTTCAACTTAAGAAATATTATTTTGAACTAACACTACAGTTACTTGAGTAAAAGTTTTTTGCTGCTTTCCCCAACTCAACTTACTTCACTGAATGCACACATTTTAACCAAAAATAAAACAAAGACAGACACAAACTCTCAGTTTATGTTAAACTGAGACTTCATGTTTGTTCACAAGGTTCTTTATTCTAATCTTATTTTTTATCTGCTCAGCCTGTTGTGACATTTGAAAGTCAAATGAATATACATAGACAGTGTATTTTGTCACTAGAAGTTATGTCACCAGATGTTATGATCAAACAGCTTCTCAGTTCTTGAGTAGCCTTCTTACCCAATAATTTTTCACTCTTACTTAAGTAATTTTTTGGATGATAACTTTTTACTTCTACTTGAGTACAAATATATTGAAGTAATGCTACTCTTACCATCTCTACATATGACAAATAAAGCTAAAAATCATGTTCAGTCAACAGAATTTTTTGTCTAAGAAACTTAATGCTTGCATATAACACCCATAATCGCCTCAGTGGTCTGGCTTCTGAGCCCCTACACTATATAACATAGTCATGGCATGAATCGTGTTGAACTTTGTTGTATAGTAATACCCACAGACTTGGGTTTTCCTGGGGTTTCCTTTCCTTGTAGCAAATATAACAATTGTTTCATAATGCTGGACAAAAAGTATTTTTATTGTAAACTGTATTGACTGAGGAGGAGAAATTCTCCTTCTTTACCTGCTTCCTTTCATGAAGCTAACCTACTTCTCCTCTATAGAGGATCTTAGAGAAAAGTAGGTGTGCTCACTTTATTGTTTTCGGTGGTGGCTGTATATCCATTCGATATCTTCATTTTAGAAAGATAACTTTGTCAAGAAACTCCTGCTATGTGATTATGTACATTTTGTAGTGCTATTTCATTTCAGAAAGGCATGGCTTCAAAGATTTTTTTTTTTTTTTTTATACCAGAATGGTGGATTTAAAATTTACTTTTCTTCTTTGCTCTTTAAGTGGCCTTGCCAACTTTTGTGTTGTAATACATTAGCAATTAGAATTGTATTTTTGTTCGGTATTGTTTACCGACATGTCACTGACAAAATTACTGTAAGAAATAAAATTTTCAACATTCCGTTTTTCCATTCCTGTTAAGAATACATAAAGTGAAACAGTGATCCAAAAATTGGGTTCAGATGACAAACCTAAACACACATTTGTATTAATATCTATTAACATGGCTTGAAACCTAGTATATTGTAACTGCAATTTGAAGCTGTGACTACCAGTAGTAACTAATTTTAGGCAGCAGTTCACTTGACAGTAATACATGTGGCATTCCTGGGGATAGATACACTTATATGAATCAGCAACATTAATCCTACCTTGATTGTTTCCCACTCTACAATTTTCTGGTGCCTTTTGACGTCTGTCATGTGTCCAGAAAAAATATTTGTCCTTTAGTTTCCTACCAACTAAGTAAAACACACACTTGTCAGTTTTGTTGGGTAGTTCAAGTTTAGAAATATTTGCCACAACCTCAGCTTTTCCTTATCCCTCGTTGGAGGGTGCAGGTCTAAACAAAAACTGCAACTTTGTGAATCAGTCAGTGAATAATGTTCAATACACTTATTCCTTTTTCCTGATTATATTTACGGCTCCATCACTTTACAGATTAGTTCATGCCATACGTTTGACCTTTGTATTATGCGATAAATAATCATACTTTGAGGGGCTGGAAGGTGGCGCAGTTGGTAGCACTGTTGCCTTGCAGAAAGTAGGTCCTGGGTTCAATTCCCAGCCTGGTATCTTTCTGAATGGAGTTTGCATGTTTTCCGTGTACATGAGTGGGTTCTCTCCAAGTACTCCAGAGTCCAAAAAAATGACTGTTAGGTTAATTGTTCTCTCTAAATTGCCTTTAGGTATGAATGGGTGTGTACATGGTTGTTTGTCCTGTGTGTCTCTGTGTTGCTCTGCGATTTACTGGTCACCTGTCCAGGGTGTACCCTGCTCCCCCGCAACCCTGTACGGAAGAAGCGGGTGTAGAAAATTAATGGACAGACTTCTGCTATTAAAAAGGAATATAATTTAAATATTTCTCACTTCAAAAGTGGCCCCATTTTAACAAAGGATGAGGTAAGTCAACCCTTTTTCAAAGACATAAGCAAAAAGGACAATTTAAGGAAAAGATTCTGAATACTTCATCTACAACAAGCAGATTAAATATCAGTATTCCCAAATGTTCCACTTCATAAACCTGATACACAAAAAAAAAAAATATTCTGGAGTATGGCCAAACGCCTAAAAGAAAGCCTTGGGCATTCTTGTTTGAAAAAAAGACACAATTTAAACTGACTAATGCAACTCACAAGTTTAAGTGGAGAAATTAGAAGACTGAAAAAGCCCTGTAAGAATGGAGAAAAGAAAGAGTGAAACTGAGAGATGAAGGGTAGTGAACAGAAAAGTGCCAGTAATTTGCACAGGATTGACCTGAGACACGTCATACCGAGGTGGAAGGACCTGCTGGAGCCGCCTGAGTCTTGACTCTGTCTGAAACAGGAGCGCTTCGTTGACAAGCCATCACCCAGAGACATCGACAAGGCTCTCAACAGACCCCTTTCTCCTCACACATGCTTCCTCTGACACACAGTGTCAAACCCTCCACCCACAATGTATGTCAGCACTCTCATTAGGGTAATTGCTAATTACACACAAAATTGTCTTACCCAGCTCTGCCAGATGTGCATCATTCAACAAAGAGGTTTCCTTACATTTAGAAAAATTGGGCTGAATAAAGAATGAAGATCCTGAGTACTTATTTCTTCTAGTATTTGTGTCTTCTGTTAAAAAATAATTGGTTTATTCTTTTTTTTAAAGATATAACTGCTTTCACAGTAAGCAGTCACTGCTAAATATTAACAGCATTGCTACTACTATACCCAAAGACGTGCATGTGCTCTGGCCGGGCAAGACACAAGATGAAAAATCATAGAGAATGCTTTCGTTTTGAGGCTTGTTGATGGATAAGTGGACAATGTGCCACGGTTTGGTAGCTGTGAAAAATCACCTTTGTTATGCTCTTAGACAGTCTGGTATCTGAGGAATTCAAAATACTGAAAGTCCTTGCAGGTATTCTGACAGTTTGTCCATCTTTGTGCCAGTGAAAAAAGTGTTAGGATTGTTGGCAATGGTCTCAGTATCTGAGCCCTCAGGGAAGACTTTGTATACATTTTACAGTTACAATGATTTGGTATTATCTTTTCCAAGTTTTTTTTTTTTTCTTAATTGCTTTAACTTTAAACAGCTACTGTTTAAGACCTTTTAACATTACAAAACACCTAAGATTTAAAATCAAGACTTTTAAAGGATACACCAGACAAAGTGCTGGTGTGACTGGAGCTTTCTCCAACTGTATTGATCACAGAGAAATGCCGGGCTCCCCCACATAATGCTGTGCACTGCTGGTCAGCTGGTAGAAAAAATGATAATACACATATGGTGTGTTCATTTTGTGTTGGATGGTTGCAGTTAAAAGTCGAGAAACTGGTGGGATTTGCTAATTGTTGTAGTGCTAACCACTATTACCAATGCAAATTGATATTTTTTCAATTTTATGCTTTCAAACACTGAAGAAGCATGTTTACAAATAGATGTTTACAGTCCTATGTGTCCTACTGGCTTAATTTCACACAGAATTATTTGAGTACTTCGAGGATCTCCTCAATCCTGCCATCACGCATTCCGTAGTGGAAACAGAGGCTGGGGACTCGGGGTTAGACTCTTTCATCAACCAGGCTGAAGTCACCGAGGTGGTTAAAAAGCTCCGCCGTGGCAGGGCTTCGGGGGTGGATGAGATCCGCCCTGAGTACCTCAAGTGTGGATGTTGTAGGACTGTCATGGTTGACACGCCTCTTCAACATTGCGTGGCGGTCGGGGACAGTGCCTCTGGACTGGCAGACTGGGGTGGTGGTCCCCCTTCATAAGAAGGGTGACCGGAGAGTGTGTTCCAACTACAGGGGGATCACACTCCTCAGCCTCCCTGGTAAGGCCTATGCCAGGGTATTGGAGAGGAGAGTCCGGCCGATAGTCGAACCTCGGCTTCAGGAGGAGCAGTGTGGTTTTCGTCCTGGCCATGGAACACTGGACCAGCTCTATACCCTCTACAGGGTACTCGAGGGCTCATGGGAGTTTTCCCAACCGGTCCACATGTGTATTGTAGACCTGGAGAAAGCATTCGACTGTGTCCCTGGTGGTGCCCTGTGGGGGGTGCTCCAGGAGTAGAGTATGGAATCGGTCCGGTCTCTGTACAAGTGGAACAGGAGTTTGGTCCACATTGCCGGCACTAAGTCGGACTTGTTCCCGGTGCATGTTGGACTCCGGCAGGGCTGCCCTTTGTCACCGGTCCTGTTCATAACTTTTATGGACAGGATTTCTAGGTGCAGCCAAGGGCCAGAGGGGATCTGGTTTGGGGACCAGTGGATTTCGTCTCTTCTTTTTGTGGATGACGTGGTCCTGCTGGGCCCCTCTAGCCAAGACCTACAGCATGCGCTGGGGCGGTTCGCAGCCAAGTGTGAAGC